ACTGGAGCGGACCCATGAACAAGAAAAACAAGCCTTCTAAGCCCCAAGAGTTTGTTAACACAGTATCACTGGAGCAGAAACCTGACTGATACACTTGTCTACACTCTTCATGAGACTGGAGGCTCTACATAGGCAAGAAAGGACTATAACCCGAGCCCCCAGTGGAGGCCTCATCACATCACAGGTGCTCAATAAATATTTGTTAATTGGATGTATGACTGAATGAATGCATATGGGCTATGGACATGTCTGTCTCCCTAGCTGGCATGAGAATTCTTAGGGCCAAGAATGGCATCCGATTTCTCTCAGTAACACCTAGTTGTCTCGTTTCCCACACTGCGTTCCGGGTAGATACTTGATAAATATTTGTTGAAACTAAATAAATTGCATTTTGTGGGCTGGCTTGGGACTGAGTCCTTAATTTATGACATTGTTTCTATGGGAAAATGTGTTCTGCATGCCAAACAAACTTGCAAATGAACTTTTGGAACCTCACCCATTCATTGGTTCAGGATTGCCAGTTTTATGGAAATCCATAACTGAACACATGTGCTATGCTTTGCAGTATGGGAGAAACTGAGAAACTGCTTCCAAACCCAAGATATTCAGCCTGCAAAAATTCACTTTCCACCCACACAGACAAATTCAGCACAGGTTGGATTTGAGGTTCCAACAATAAAATACTAGACATTTTAGAGCTCATTGTTTATCTAATTGCTTTTTATCTGCTTATACTAGATGCCTATTCTTAACACCCGATCAAAAGGAAGTTAAGATAGTTTTCTTGCCCACTCCCCGTGCTCAACAAATCCATTTTCTAGACACATATGCAAAAAAGTTCAACCTTCTCAAAAGGGAAAATAAATTATTTTTCTAAATAAATCTGTGACATTTAAAATAAACACAGTGGGATGCTCTACGGTTATAAGAAAAGATCCCCCTTTAGAATTCCTAATTTTGAATGGTACTGGGAACTCAATATGAGTCACAGATCTGAGGCTTAGTTTTATTTCGTCTTAGGCCAGAATCAAGCCACTTTGAAACTTAAGTGATCCGATGTGGCTGGGAAGGGCCATCAGTCTAGAAAATTCTATATGACATAACACACACGTCTCAACCCGCCACTGGTAGAGTTTCTCAATCACTCAATCTACTTCATTCACTTAATGTATATTTTTTGAGCACCTACTCTGTGTCAGGCACTGTTGTAGACTCTGGGAATATAGTCGTGAACAAGACAAACAAGGACCCTATGTTCATGGAACTTTCATTTTAACAAGAGAGGCAGAGAAAGAAGATCACTTCTTATGATGGGGCCATGATGAAAATAAAACAGTGAGGTGATTATGAGTGAGGTGAGGCCATTTCAGACTGGGTGATCAGGAGAGAGCCAGCTGTGGAAGGATCTAGGGAAGAATATTCTAGACTGAGGAAACAACAAGTACAAAGTACCAGAGGAGAGAACAAGCCTGGCATATTCCTAAGTCAGAAGGAAAGATGGTGGGGTGGAGTGAACAGAGGAGAGACACGCATGAGAGGTGCAGAAAAGTCAGATAATGTACGCATCCTGTAGTCAGACAGTCAGACTAGATTCTAGGAGAGAAAGCCAGTGCAGGTTTTGAACTGGGGAGTGACATGATCTGGTTTAGATTTTAAATCACCCTTCCTCTTGGAGAGTACTGGGACAGGGGTGAGGGAGCAAGAGGAGAACCAGGGGAAGCCTGAGTCATACTTTATAGAAGGCTAGAACTTCCAGCCCATCATCAATAAATGATGTGTCTTCAGCCTCTTCTCGGATCATTCCTCTTACCTTGTTGTGCTCACGAAACCAGCCTCTGCCCTGGGGACAGTTTACTCAAAGCCAGCTCAGGGGCTGGCTGCTTCCTCTCACTCATGTGTTAAGTGTCCTGCTTGTGTCTCACTGCCTTTTCTGGATGCTTCTTCTTTCCTCCCCCTTTCCAAGCCTGTCCCCCAAAAGTGCCGCAGCCTGGAAGCTCAGGCAGTCATGCCACCAGCCCACACCACCCCAAAGTTCTCCTTGCTGCAACCATCTACAGTGCACCCCCAGCCCTGCCAATTCCTCCCTTTTCTGGACTATTTTGCTCCTCACTCCAACATTGTTTCCACAGTTGGTTTTGGCGATATAATTTCCAAACAGATGATTCATCCAACACTTCGCTACCTCAGTTCCTTGACCCCCTCCCTGCCAAAGATCTTGTCTTCCATCCTACTTCAGGTACACGAACATAACCTAGGCTTTGTCATTACCAATAGTGCCATCGCACGCAAGACCTACCTACAGTCCACCTACTACCTCTTTCCAGTTCCTCAGGTCTAACAAGTCTTAAATCCAACCACAACCTCCCAAGCACAGATCCCACCCCCTGTTCCTATCCCTCACTGCCCTCCTTAGAGTTGTTTCCAGAAGAGAGCCCAGGGTCCACTGGTACTACTTTAAGTACCAATATCCATGACAATACCATCATACTCCCCTTGGATACACCCTCAGTCCCCAGCCCCCCTCCATGTATTTCCTGCAAAGACCTACCTTGCTCAACCTAGCTCTCCCCAACTCTGTGACCACACCAGCAAAGCTGAACACAGCCTTCGAAAGCAAAACCACACTGAGTGTTCTCATTCCAAAAGCAAGACCACTGGCCTCCACAGGGCCCTCCTGCTGCCCAGGGATCACACTGTATTTCCCATCTCCACTATCTGTCCAACTCTCTTTTCGACCTTCTCTCCCTTCTCTCTTCAAACCTCCAGTCCTTCCTCCCCCACCTCACTCTGACGGCTCCAAAGTCACTGAACATGATGTAAACAATATAAACTGATACCACTTACCCTTCCCCCACCTACCTGCTCCAGGACCCATGTTCTGCACCTTCCCTCCCAGGACCAAGGCTGACTCGAATACCTCCTTCCCAAGGCTTGCCTCCCCTCGCGTGCGTGCGTGCGTGCGTGCGTGCGTGAGATCACCTTTCATCTTCTGAGACACAACTGCGCAAGGGCCCTTTCCCTTTCTTACACCATCAGTTTCTCCTTCTCCACTGGAACTTCCCCAATAGCCCCAAAGCATAGCGTGCTTTCACACACCTTAAAAACAATAAGACCCTCTGGATTTTACTTTCTCCTCCAACGTCTGCTCCATTTTTCTGCTGTTTTCCTCAGCAAAGCTCCTCTGAAGAGTCGTCTCTGCTCTGCTCTCTCATGTTTCTCTTGCAGCATTAGCACCAATTGCCACAACGGCTCCAGTCACGGTCACCAGTCATCACCTGCTAGGTCCAAAGGATCAGTTCTCTTCTCTTGCCCAGCCTCTCAGCACCATCTGGCACAGCGGACCGCTCCCTTCTTTCTTGCCTTGGCAACCTGGAGACCACCTCCTTTGGTCTTTCCTCTTCCCTTTCTGGCTGTTCCCTCCCCCTCTTCCTCTCTCTGCCCCCAATCGTGGTGCCATCTCCGTGCTCAGTTCCCCAACTACTCCTCCCCTCAGTCGACATGGCCTCCCTTGTCTGGTCTTCAGGCTTCTTTACGTCCCATCTAGATGCATCTAAACCCCAAAGTCATCTCACCAGCCCGTACACTTTGTCCATGAACTCCAGACCTGTGTTTGCCAATATAGTAGCCACTAGCTCTGTGTGGCTAATGAATTCTCAGCACTGCCACCAAATGAATCTCTGCAGGGAGCTCTGCAAACACACAGGGAACCGACCTAAATGCAACGGGTGGGAAAGAAGAGGGCAGTTGTGCATAGTGTGTGTGTAGCGATGACATGCTGTGATGAGCGGTTAATTTCCTCAAACCCTAGACTTGGGCGAGCCACACGAAGAAAACGTTCCTACCCAATTACAGTTATTCATGAGCATTTTCCTGGCCTTGCTTCTTTTGTCTGCCAACGATTCTGACGGAAACAGCCCCGTGAGGAAGCGCAGCGAAAGGCAAAGGCAAGTATGCATCCGGGTGCACCGTAGCTTTCAACTTCCTCGGCGAACTCCTAATTAATCCCATCCCCACGTTTTTCGCCTGTTTCCTGAACCTCTTGCTTAGACCATATTCTCCCCCTCTCCCGTCATTGCCCTGGGCTTCCTTCCGCAGGGGCTCCCCCATTCTCTCCCCAGTCTTCTTTTCTTTCCCCCAACTGCCCTCTTGTTCAGCCTTCGGCTTCTCTGCACCTGTTCCACTCCTCCTTATCCTTTTTCACCTTTAAAAACTGAAAGCACCGAACTGACAGACACTGTTATGGTTTTCTTTTTCTTTTTTTCTTTTTTTTTTTTTTCCCTCTCCCTGCTTGAGCTACAGCTCAGACGCTCTCCTCCTCGCTTCTGTAGCGGGAGCCCGAGTACTGGGTTGCCATGGCAACAGCCAATCCAACCAGGCCGGTCCCAGCCACGCTAGGAGCCGCCATGGCGAGGAGGAAGCCTCTACAAGTCGCCCCAGAGCCCGGATGGGTCGTGAACATCGTAATTCCAGCCCAGGCCGGGCCCATTCTGCCCGGGGACCGAGACCGTACACCAGGCCCCCAGCCGTACCACGCCGCAGGGGACAGCGCCATCAATAACACGGCTTCCACCCAGCCAGCCGGATGCGTGACATTATGGGGATTCAGCTGAAAATTTTCAAACCTCCCTATTCTTTCATCTCCTCGGGGGTGGAGGGGGGAAACTTTTGCCTCTCTGTTTCTCTCTCTCTCTCTCTGGAGTCCTGGGGAACTCTGTAGAAAGTACAAGCAGCACTGACAACCCCAGCCTCCCCTGCTCCCACCCCTGGGCACGGGCAGCCCTGAGCGGTCCTGGTCCAACTGTCTGGTGGCCCTGGCACAGCTGGGAACATCGCTGACAATTAATTAGGATTCCACCGTGATACTTCAGTGGGCAGCGAAAGGCTCCGTTCCCCCAGGTCATCGGAACGGATCCTCAAAGTAGGGCAACAAGTGTTCTGCCACCTGACACTCCCCCCGCCTCCCCAAACATGTGAGTTGGTGAGAAAGAATCAGGGAATACCTTTGTAGCGAATGGCACCAACCGCAGTGAGGGTCTGCAGCCGTTAAACACTCCGTGCAGGATGGATGTTTACTGCAGTTGGCAACACGAATTCTCCTCACCTAAAAATAAAGACACCCGTGGTTCAGACGGAATTACAAGTAACGCCGGAAAAACGACAACCCCTTATCTGTTGAGGGGCCAGGAAGAGCACACTGATCGACTTGAACTCCAGATATCTCTGTGATGACGTGGGGCAGTTGTTCTCAGAAGCCCCCGGGGAAGCTTTGAAAGTGTGGATCCCCAGATACCCTGCTAACCCTACTGCCCAGACTCCTGCCCGTAGGTCTGGGACCCAGCCTGGGAATCTGAAATTTTTAGGGGCTCACTCAGGTGAGCCTGAGACACAGTCAGGTTTCTGATTGGTTGGTGATGATTTCCAAGGAGCTCGTGGAATCAGGTCACCTGGTCTTCCCACAAAGACCATCAATATGGGGTCAGTGGTGCTTTGGAAATGAGCGTCTGGGGATGGCAAAGGCTCTGATTCAGGAGTGTCAGCATGAGGCTGGCGCTGGACATGGATGTGAGGACAATCCCACGTCCCTGCCAGGGTAACTCCATTGCTTCAGCTCCTAGCTCACTCACTCAAATTCCCTCCACTGGAGTTGAGAATGAAAGAATCAGGGAGTATTCAAATCATTGCCGGCCCCTCAAGCCACCTCTTCCAGTTGTCAGGGAAAAAGCAACCCACAGAGCAGGCACCCGTGCTGGGCAGACCCAGGCATCTGAGACAGTCAGTCAGAGCCTAGAGGCGGGGTGGCAGGAGGCAGACAGGACCTCAGTGTTGCATGGCATGTTTTCTGCAGGCAAAATCCCACAGCAGGCAGTAAGGAAACTTGGGGAACTCATTAAGCTGGGAAATTATTCACACTAGAAGGTGGAAGTAACTTCTTTAAAAGGTTAGAGAAACAGAGTTCTAGAAAGGGTTGGTGAGGAAAATAGGCTATCCTGAGGAGTAGTCCTCAATTCTAAGTTGACTTCATGGGGGATAAACCTGTCCATTTCTCATAGTCCTTGATGCTGCTGAAAGCTGTGGGGGCAGACCACCAGCCTGAGCCAGAATTAACCAGAATGTGGCTATTTCCTTGTAGCTCACACAACATCTTAATTCTGGAGGGATTTTCATAAATACATAATCTCTTTAACCTTGTTTCCTCATCAGAGAAATGGTGATAGTGCCGCTGACTCCATGGGGTTATTATACATGTCTGGCATACACTAAGTGCTCAATAAATGTTGGCTATCACTACTGTGTGGGGAAAGGGTCCCACAGTCCAACAAACATGTGAAATCTTCCACTGAAAAGGCAAATCAATTTCCTTAGAACAAGGTTTCTGAGAGCCTTTGAATATGCTGGGCATCGTGATACTCCAGGAGGGGTACAGTCAATACCATCTCCTCCTAGGGCCACTTTTGCTCAGAACACTTAGTAGAATATTCTCTAGAACCTTCTGTGAGAAACTTTACACAATGTACTTAAACATACAAACAACATAACTCCATGCAAAAGAGAGAGAACACTGTAAGTACTTACATTGGACCTGCTTCTCTAACTTAATAACACATTATAGTGACTAACACAGCAATGCATAAATCTTCATATGGTTATTTTTAATGGCCGCATATTTGATAGATGTACCAGGACATATTAGTTTGGCTGTTACTATCTCCCCAAGAGTCTAGGACAGAACCTTCCCTAGGTTTTGGCTCTCTAGGGATTATACTGGCTCAACCAGAATCTAATAGGATCCACAGCAGTAAACCTAAGTGAAGAATGTACAAATAACCAGCTTCGATGCCCAGTCAAAAACTCTCCCTTGGACTTCAGACTTTGAATGACCAGAGGCTAAGTAGTCTTCACCTTCCAGAAAATGAGGACCTGTCAGCTATCTGTGGCTCTCCCAGTGATTCCCAGCTTACAGTCGTGAGTCCCAAGGAAAGCAGTAACGAGAACTTGTGAGCTATTTGCAATGTTTCAAAAAGCTGAATGGAAAAAACATGCATGGGTCAAGCAAGACTTCAAGAGTCTTTGCTTTGGGCTGGAATTTTATTGGCTCCATGTGGTAGCACAGTCTGTTCCCTGGCTGGCAGTTTCCAGATGCCCTTGATAAATAAAACCTGGGAATGGGAATAGTTACTTAATATAGGCAGTCTGTGGAATAGAACAGTGTCTTTCAAATGCAGGAAGCCCAGGGAAGAAATAGAATGAAAAGTGCTGAGTGGTGAAACAAGCCGCTTGAGAAGATTCTATGGTGGACAACTAGTTTACCAGCGTAGACCAGGTCCACCATCTATCACCACGTGCTCATTCTGCATAACTGACTTTGCAACGTGCAAAGGGCAATATGGCCTTTCTAGGAATTCTGGAGACTACAGAGTGCTCGTGTACCTACCTCGTGACTATAACAACCATGTGGCTTGATATCATTGCCATTCCCCTTAGAATGAGAGACAAAGAATGGAAAGTGGGGGTGGGCCAAGGGCAGCTGTTATCCCATTGTACAATTCTGTAAGTCTCAATGATCTCCTTTGCACTTTGTATGTGCCAGTGGCCACGGAGCCAAATTACCATGTCAGAATAGGCTGCTAGTTTTCACAGGTTTAGGATTTGACCTTGTTTATCTATATATAGGCATATATATATATATACACACACACACACACATATATATTTATCTAACATACACACACACACACACCCTTGAGTGAATTATTTAACCTCTTCAAGTCTTAGGCTCTTCCTGTATAAAACAAGGGTAATTTTATCTCATTAAATTATGAACATATTTCAACAACATTGTTTTTATAGGTGTGTGTGGACAGACACAACTGTATGCACATAGAGAGACCATATTTAGAATAGTAACTAGCACGTGGTCAGTAGGGACTGAATAAAAATTAGTTTTCTTCCCTTCCCTTGGTGAAAGCACCTTGTAAAAAGGAAGAAAATGGAGAAAGATATTCTCTTTATTTCAGTAAGCAGAAGCAAGAAGAAAAACTAGAACAGTCAAATAAATTAAGGGAGGGAGGGGGAGTGCCATATATTTCCTGGTTCATGAATGTGTATGAGACCATGGCCTGATATTAACCCCAAATTCCAAAGCCAATCCCTTTGGGTGTATTCATAAATGCATCTAACCATTCAGTGCCTGCACAATAAATGTGTAAATTCAGTTACCTAGCTGATTATGCACCCATTTGCAAGCACCCCCCTCCCCTGAAAAACGTGGCATTGGAAATATAGCCAATGATAAAATTGTCTAAATAGGTAATATTTCTTGCTTACTTACTGACAGCAAGGTTTTTAATTCCATGTCCGTGAACCACTGCGGGTCTTCTCGAAGCCTGCAGCAGTGTTTAAACCTGATAGTTCAAAGTAAAAGCTTCACTACTAGATAATGACGTTAATTAAACACTTTCTATTCGGAAGTCAGAAGCAATGGCTGGTATTTTTACCCACCTCTTTCCCGGCCGTTAGATAGATGTAGATATTCTTCTTAGGATGAGGAACCAGTTTGTAGAAAATGGGTGTCTCTTCTTTAATTTCATAGATAACCTCTGGACAATTTGAAGTCAAATTCTCACCCAGAACAACCTATTTTTTTTTCAAAAAGAGAAATATGATTTCTATTAAATACGTCAAATAGCGGGGGTGTGGGGAGGCAAGACTCGTAGCTTAGTTCTAAGACCACATGCTCCTTCACTCACTAAATATATGGGCTGAGGTACCGTGTTCCTCAAGCATCTACTGTCTCAGTCTTCCGCAAAGCCGGTAAAAACAAGTACGGTCACGCACACACACGTGCGCACGCACACACACGCACAGCCAGCCTTCGGTCCTGTAGCAGTAACCTCATAGGTGGAAGCTTGACATCCATAATTCCTTAATACACCCGGCTTTACAAGAAGCTACAAGTGACAGCTTCCTTAATACTCCCCCAAGTGATCCTAAGACCGAAGGAAGTCGGTTTGATGACTTGCACAGTTGACTCTGATTCTCCTATACAATTCGACATACTTAGACATCTTAATGTAAGCAGGACAACTGAACAGGCCCAAGCGGGTGGGTATGTGCTTATATATAAAGTAGAGCCAAGCATAGCTTTGAAATTGGACATACCCGAGTTTCACTCATCTCAATCAATAAATATTTACTGAATAGCCCCTATGTATCTGACATGTTCTAGGTGTTTGGAAAATGGCACTGAACAAATGAGTGGAGGGAAGGGGAGTAGAAACCTACCCTCATGGAACGTGTGTGTGTGTGTATAGGGGAGTGGTGGCTGACAATGAGTAAATTATAAACCCTATTAGAAGGCGATGTCAGTCAAAATAAAGTGAGGTAAAGAGATAAGGATGTGTGCTCAGGGTAGTTCTCATTGAGAGGTCGTAGTTAGGTAGCTACGTGCAGGAGATGCTGGAGTGGGTCACTTGGGTGTCTGGGTGACACATGTTTGGCCCCTTGATCCCGATGCCCTACAGTCTGGGGGGGGGGGCAGTGGGGCGTGAGCAGCACCAGCGAGGCAGAGCGCAGTGGGAAGTGAGGTAAGGGGTGTGTAACGTAGGTTCTTGTAGGCCCATATAAAGACCTTACTCTCACTCCAGGTGAGAGCGAGGGAGCCACTGCCCATTTCAAGCGCTCGCTAGCCACCTCTGGCTAGTGTCTACCATACTGGAAGTAGACACAGAGCATTTCCATCATCATGGAAAGTTCTGTTGGACAACACCAGCCTACCGAGAACCGTGAAGGCAGGGAAACATCAGACAGGCGCAGCCCAAGTGTGAGCCTGCCAGCTTCTTGTCTCCCCATCTCTAATTCATAGTCCTTATTAATCAGCTCAGAGACAAACAATTGATCAGGTTCTAGAAAGTGGTCATAGAGAAGAGAAGAAACAGGAAGCCAGTTAAAAAACATTGATAAAAATATTCTCAAGCGCAGCTCGAGAGAAGACAGGCTGCTGTCCAGGAGAAATCCATCACGTCAAAGGCACCATTGGGCACAATCACCTTTGAGGCATTCGTGCCAAAATGGACCTTGAATTTAATCAAGCCTTTAGTGTGAACTTTCATTTAGCATCAGGAAGCAGAAAGGGGAGGAAGATGCTGAACAACCCCATGAGGAAAGAAACAGCCAAATCCACAACATGAGGCATCTGACGAGACAACAGGCTTCATTTCCTCGGTCAGTCAGTGGCAGCGGATAAAGGCTGGAAGGTGGTCATTCCAGACTGAGAGAGACAAGGCAGCCCACAGGTGATTGGAGGACCTTGTCTGGATACCAGTTTGAACAAAAATAATTTTCAAAGACATTCTTGAGCCAATGAGGAAAATGTAGCTCTACAAATGCAATATTAGATAATTCGAAAGGATGACTGGATAATTTTGTTGTGGTAACAGCATCATGGGTACGGTTACTTGAGAAACTGAGCATTTTTTAGAGATGTGTAATGCAGCATGGAGGGGTGAAATGCCACTGTCTGGGATTTGCTTCAAAAGAAAAACATAATTTACAAAACACTACCGCTCATCCATTTTAAGTGAGTTAGGAGCTACGTTGCAGTTTTTATCGGGACTTAATTCTTGGAGCATGATTGACGCAGATGGGTAAGGGCCAGAAAGATCCAGTTGGGGGCAACTTTGATTCACCCGTAGATGATGAGGCACCAGGATTTTCTCTGGAACTCCAAATTGTGGCAGGAAAGCCTTTCTGTGGTACTGGGCACCAGGCTTTGCCAGCCAGATTCCTAAATGAGCTACCTAGAGTGGCTTACACGGAGAGCTTGTCCTAGTAACTACGGATGCGGGGCTGAAATTGATGTTTCCCTGATGGCGGGAGTGAGACTTTCCTAGAAGGTAACTTGGCATTATCTCTCAAAATTATAAAGCACATACCCTTAGACCCCACAGCCCCTCACATCTATATTGAATGACATATGTACGTGGCGGTTTAGTGTATCACACATTATAAGCAAAAGAAACAGCCTAAATGTCCAACCGTAGAGAACTGATTAAACACAGTATAAACAGTATAGTACTATTTAGCCATAAAAGTCATTAGGAAGCTTTTTCTACATACGTTTAACACATTATATTATGTATATCTATATATTGCATAAACATGTTTATATACATATATAGCATGTTTAATATATTGTATATTTGACAAAATGAGAGGAAGACGATCTTCCCCCTTTTGCTTGCAAACATATATAAAATATCTCCGGGAAGATACCCAAGAAACCTACTCCCCTGTTTGCCCCCTAGGTCATGAATGTGTGGTTTTCATATATTCTCTTGGTTCTTTTGAATTTGGACCGATGTCAATGTATTATCTTAGAAAACAAATACATAAGATTTAAATGTGAAAAGGGAGGATGAGTGGACCCAATTGTTTCGGGTTTTGTTTGTTTGTTTGTTTGTTTTGCTAGATTCCACATAAAAGGATCTCCATAACCCTGAGGACAGGACAATAGGAACTTCTCATTTTCATCACAAAGGGACCCCAACATGTTATGTGGAGGGGTCTGGGTGCTGTGGTCCTCAACTCTCTCAGGTGACTCTGGGACAGGCGAGACATGGCTTTCTTTCCCTGCTAGATTTCTATTAATATCACCTCCTCCTCCTCCCAAACCCACAGCCCATTCCCAGGGCATCAAAGCAACACTTGGATCTCCTAAGTGCAAAATTCGTGTAAACATCAACACAGAGAAGAAAGCCAGCCAGACTGGAGCCCGGGAAATGTTCCCTCCTCAGCTCAGTTTAACTGGGCAGCTTTGGAGAAAGAGCTCGATCGGTGAAGTGAGGCAGGAAGTAACAGTGAGTCACAGAAACCCAAAATGGGTTGAGTTTTGTATAAAAGCCACTCTTCTAATTCATACGCGTTCCTTGGGCATGATGTGGATTTTCATCTCTTGCTTCCAGAATTTTCCTTAATATAGCTCGATTATGGAGTCAACCTGAGTCTCTGCCATGCATATGCTCATTTACCCCTTCATCTTTCGAGTCTCAGATGTCACCTCCTCTGAGAAGCCTTCCCTAGTTGCCTTTCTACCTCACCCCACTGTCGTGGTCTACCCATCAGTCCATTTCCTTCAGAGCACATATTACTGTCTGAAATGGCTTTATTGCTGGTAAATTCAGTTATGTATCTTCTGTCTTTTTCTTCCCATCACAAGAGCAGGGGTTTGCCTCTTTTATTCATTTTTGTATCAGCACCCAGAATAGTGTCTGGCACATAAAAGGTGCCCAATAAATATTTATTAAATGAAAAAAATTCTATTAGCATTCAAGATTTTTATAAGGCTCTTCAGATTTTTTTTTTTTTTTTCCAGCTGAAGCCTGTGTAGAAAACAAATTTTCCCTGGTGGAGAATTTCAGTTTGTGTCAACAGATTGTTTCTGTCAACATCTTCCTGAAGCTTCATGGTAGGCTATTAACTAGCCTTGGGATTTTTGTTGCATACAAAACAACTTCTCAACTCCAGTTCTGAAATGTGTGGTGTGTGAGACTTCTAGATCAGACAGATACATTACAAGTTCAACACCACCCACGGAAAGGATAGCTTGCTGAGGAAAATGGGGGGTGGGGAGGAGAGAAAAAATTAAACAAAAGACTATTTCTTTTTTCTTTACCATTACCATGACATGGAAAAGCCATGGGTGTTCAAAAAGCTAAAATATATACTTCAAATTTCTTTCCAGTTAAAGGGCAACCAAGCCAATCTTCTCATTTTTTAAAAAAATAAATAGTTTCTAAGAAATGCTGCAAATGGGGACATAAACCACACATACACACACACGAGAAAGCAAGGTAATTATCCAACAGTGTTTAAAGGGCTTCAGTAGTTAGGAGTAATAAAGGTGAAATATAAAGATTAAGGCAAATTCCTCTTTTATTTCTAGTCTACTTATTTCAGTGTAATAGTAAGAGAAGACTACAGCTTGAACCACAAGTTCTCAGTTTGTGGGTTACATGGCACTAATAGTTCTAAACTGGGGAGTCCCTGTAAACTCACAAACTAGAAAGAATGAGATGGAGGTGAACCTGAACTCACTTCATATGACACTCCAAGCAGCCAATCATGGAGGCCATTTCCAAGTTTTGACACTTCCGGATGTTTTGGCTTCTTGATCTATTACCTCAGCTCAGCCAACCCCACCACACCTACTTCCGGCCCCAGGTCCTGTCCCGGGTTCTGCATGGCCTCCTTTCCTTTATTTGAACATTCTCTGGGAATAGAAAGAGAGCTTGTCCTTATAAAGTATCTTATTATTTTTGTTATGTTTTATTTTCCTTTGGCAACTTTAAGACCAGGATCAAGGCAGACTTCAGGTGTCACACACTTTGCCTCCTGCAAGGATATGGGAGAACTTTCTGGAACTGGTCTGACTTTTGCTCCATGGTTGGATAAATGAAATCCACCTGGGGAAATAGAGTTTTGAAGGCCACAGAGATTGCCAGTCCTGACTCAAAGCAGTGCTTCTCTGCTCAATATGGGAAGGGACATACATGATAGGGCTTCTGCCCCTCTGAAACCTACTTCAGTCCTAGGGATGTTGGAGAAACCCCACACTAGCTGCCTACCACAAAAACCATTCCCAAAATCAACTTGAACACAGATTTTCTTCCTTTGCTCTCAAAGAGCCCACAGGGGAAAAGCTGGGGTCCCATAAGGGGTTCAGAGGCTCCTATGAGCCACTCGCAGCTCTGAGGGGAGGAGCCTCTGCCTTCTAATACAGATGTCTACACCCTGCCGGGTTAGGGTGCCAGACGCCATCCCCAAATAGGAACAAACTAAAACCACAGAAGCCAGAGCCCTCCTCATGAAACATCAAATACCTGCAACTTGGTATTAACTCAGATACGCCAATATTTGAAAGAAAAATTTAAAAACAAAACAAAACCAGTTCTACAAATTCCACTAATCTCTACAGACTACATTTTTAATTAGCAGGGCAGTTCGGTTGGGGGACAAGTTGCTTCAGTTCCAATTACCTTGAGCAAGTTGCCTAACCACTCCGAGCCTCAGGCCTTTCTCATTTATAAAGTTGGGGATGGTAACACGATTGACGCACAGGGATGAAATGAGTTAACCCAGGCAGACCCCTGTTCTCATGCCCGGCACAGAAGTTAGAGCTCAGAAATGTTGGCCATTATTATGCCTTATTTTTTATGCTTACAAGAAAGGTTAATGGGCATGCATAAAGTTACAAATTTCAAATTTCATGCATATTCCATTATTACTTATTTTACCACCTGGAAGAAGCTCAAAATAGTCAATTCTGCCCTTGAAATAAGGACAATTTTCTACATGCGACAGTCAGCTCAAAGGAACCCAAACCCCACAATAAGCTGTACCACAATCCGGACAAAGATTCGGTGCATGTTTATAAAAACAGGTACGCCCTCAGGGTGCGGGTGTGCAACACGTGGGCCGTGAATCCCCAAAAGCTGACTTCAGCGTGGCCATCCTCACTCAGCTGATCGCAGGGGAGATGCTGACAACCAAGGAAGTACAGCATGCGATCTTCCTCAGAAAGGAAGTAAAATGAGGAAATAACCCCGGGGGATAGGGTGACGACACAACCCAACTCCCAGCCACTAGGATCACACTTCAATAAAACCAGGGACTGCACTGTGGAAAGGACCCTTTCAAGTTCTAAACTTCCATTTTTCTAAAATCTTACAAGGGATCTTAGGAATAAACGCAGGAAAAAAGGGCAGTGCAGACATTAGCATATCACAAAGCTTTCCATTCTTCCACTTCTCAATCTTACCTCTGGAGGTGGGGCCAGAACACCTGGAGGCAGTGAGGGTCTTTAAGGACACTTGCAAAATGATTCAGTATCCCTGGCCAAGCCCAGCATCATGTTACCCCATTGCAGAATATGACCCAGCTATTTAAAAAATACTATTTACAAAGGGTTTTCCATAACATTTTAATACAGGCATTTTTTTCCCTCATTAAGGGGAAAAAAATGGGTGCAAAATTAGATAAAGTCTGATCTCAACTACGCAAAAAAAAAAAAAAATTCTAAAATGCTGCCATCAGTTGCCGCTACACAACAGAACTAGGGTTTTTTGTTTGTTTGTTTTGTTTTGTTTCTGTTTTCTCCTCACCCCCATTACTTTTTAACTTTCTCTAGGAACATATATTATTTTCGTAATAAGAAAAAAAAATTTAAATAACCTGAGGTTTAAAATCTCACTGAACAATGCTAAAATCCCATGAGGTTTTCGGAGATTTAAGTTAGAGAGAGAGTGTGTGCGTGTATGTGTGTAGTGGTTAAAAAAAAAAAAGCAATTGGCCCCCAACTGCTGTTTCCTGCCCCTCATCCAAGCAGGCATATACTACAGTGCCTGGCGTCTGTCAAAATACTGCCAGCTCTTGATCACTGGGAAACTGATGAGTCAGGCTGTGGGTGATCCAAGCCCTCTTTCTTCTCCTCCTCCCACCGGCTGCCTCGGGTTGGGTTGTGTTTTGCGTTGCTTATTAGTACCTCCGCTCTGTGGCTTCAGAAGCCAAGCTTGTGTCTATCAATGTTCATCTTTTCTAACAGTTCTGGTGACAAGTCTGGCAAGGGAGAAGCTTGAAGTCTTTGAATAAAGGCATTCGGGGATTATCTATGCCTTCCCAATCAGTGACACAAGCCCGGGTCTTGGGACTCTGGGTAATTTCATGGGCTGCGTCTAAGACATGGGGAAGTCTTGGGAATTACTGGGCTGGTCTAGGGAGTCTGGCGTGGCCAAGTCAGTTCAGGTATTTCCCTCACAATTTCCTCCTGAGGAAAGGGACCTTCCTGAGTGAAGCCGGGAGCAGGGTTTAACTCCCCGGAAGTTATCATGCCATACAGGTATTCCTCTAGTCATATGGTCAGGCTCCTCCTAGAGCTGGGATTCTTCCTGGTGCTTCTAAAAACCCGGACGGACACCCTAGGAGCATGGGTTCCACTGTCACTACCCCTCCATGGATCCCTATCAATGTGCTTCCCGTCCCCCCCAGGGAACCTTCCAGGAGTGGTTGGGGCAGACATCACAAACTCAGGGTAGTTTGGGGGACATTAGCGCAGATGCAGGAGTCCCCCCATATGCAGATCTCTGCTGTGCCCTGTGTACCTTGGGCAAATCATCCACATTCTCTGGGCCTCTCTTCCCTTCTGGGTAAAACAGGCCTAGTCTGTAACTACCTCATGGCATCGTGGAGAGGACGGAATTCCTTAGAACATGGAGAGGGACAGGCACAAGGGAAACAAAGCACAAATGCCAGCAGTCACAAAATAAAGCCCCAAACCAACCAACCTGCCCGTGTTATTTGGATCCTAAAAGCAAGGCTGCAGGGAAGGCTTCTGAAGGTGTGCCCCTCACAGACGCTGAGGAAAGCCCCACTTCAGTCAGCTGCCTCCTCCTCGTCAGCTGGAAGCTGCAGCCCGGGCCCAGCCCTCTGACGCCACAACAACATGGCAACCTGGCCAGCTGCACGCCAGCCCCGGGGGTGAGCCGACAGGACAGGCAAAACCAGGCCGTCCCCCGGGGAATGATTTTGGGCCAAGTGTTCCCTCACCTCCCGTTTACCATGTAGCTCGGTTGGTTGGCTCGGCTTCGGGGAAACAGTGTTCTCATCACAAAACTCATCAGAAAGAGCCTCCATCTGAAGAGATAATTGGTGAGGAGGCCCCAGGAAGGACTGATGGCCGCTTCCTGTGCCAGGTGAAATGGGTCCAATCCGCCTGCCCGGGTTGGTGGAGCCACACGTGTCACCGCACGGCGCCAAGGAACTTGTGTAGAGTGACGGATGGGTGTTTACCTTTCCCCAGGAAATCAAGCTCACGCAACAGGAAAGATGATCAATGTATATTTTAAAAGAATGTGTATACAAACAAACTCTCTCCCATATGTTACTGGGTTTCCTCCAAAGAAAACAGATTAAATCAAATGCCTACCAGGCATGCAGCATTGTATTAGGCTGTGGGGATTCGGGACCCCCTTTTCGAGAAGCTTAAAAAATGAAGTTGGGGAAGCAAGACCAACAGGAGGGAAAAGGCTGGCCATCAAAGCAAGACATTTGTAACGAGCCAAAAGAAGGAGACAGCTAATGAGTACTTTAGAGGAGGGGAAAACATGGTCAAAACATTGGGCTTTGGAGGCCTCAGAGAGCAGGTAGAGCATGAGCTGAGCCAAAGCACAGACACATGGTAGGCTTCAGTAGAGAAAAAAAAAAAACAAAACAAAAAGCAAAAAAAAAAAACAAGCCATCCTGGAAGGGGGCACAGCATGAACAAAGGTGGGGGGCGGGGGTGACTGGAATACACAATGCACATCAGGGAAACAAGCAAATAGTTTTGGCGAAAGTGGGAGATAAGAGCACAGAAGACGGAATTAGCGGCCATCAGGAGAGAAAGGGGTTTTCTAGGTTGTCTAGCACAATCTCATTTAACAGATGAGGAAAAGGAAGCCCAGAGAGCTTAGGCAATTCACCTACAGTCACACAGCTAGTTGTCAATGGGAGATCAGTCGAGAAATCAAATCTGTTTGTACTCAATTTAGAATCTGAGCTGACAGTAAATCAACTGACTGCCGGGAGGCAGAGAGGAACATCAGCCTAAGGTGACAGAAACCGCGCCGTTCCCAGCCCCGACTGTTGAGGCTGCGGGAGGTGTTCAATAAATGCTTGCTGATGAAGCTAAGAGGCCGGCCGCTCTATCACTCCAGACAAGTCATTAGGTAACCCTGGGTTTATCTTCTCCTCCTCCCACTGCCTCGCCCCAGCCCCTGGTGAATCATAACCTCAACTTGACCCATGGTATACCCATACAGAAAAAATAGTCCTCCCAGATAAAAGTCAGGGGGGTCTCAAAGGATTTTGGGTCTCTAACCTCTCCCTGATGTGGGCACAAAGGGCATAAAACAAAACCCTTCCATGGGTGGCAAGTGGGTTGGAGGGAAGGAACACCTGTTCTTTCTACTTTTCAAACCGTACCATCCCTCATCTGTTTCAAGTTATCAGAAATCAGGTGCATCGTACATTTCCATTACGAAGGAGACATGGAGCAAAGGGTGAACTGTCTTAGGAAGGTGGGGAGTGGGAGGGCCAGACCCCCATTTACCTCCCCCGGAAGCTTATAAGTAAAGGAGGGAGAATAACTTGGCATGCTCCTGGGAAGCAAGGTGGTTCGAGTTTCCTTACACATGGCTAGGGAGGCCATCACATACAGATTTCCGGAAATCTCTTTGTGGTCATTTCTGAGGGTCTCGGAGCAGTTCACAGAGCAGTTGGTAGGATGTCGTGTATAACGCAGAAACAATTAAAAAAAAAAGTAAATAAATTCAAAAGCACGAAATGGATCACGATGAAAATTGACATTGAAGAAGGCACAGAAAACCAACCTTAAGTAACTGGCCATCTCCAGTCCCCAAGAACAAAACAGTCCTGTTCATTACCACGGTGCCATAAACGGATGTCAGGTCGGAATGGATCAAGGTAGATGAGGCAATTGGTTGGACTCTCTCAGGTTTCTCGCCTTCTTTCTGAACATGCACACAAACGCACAAATGAAAAAAAGATCATTTTTAACAGTGGTAATCACTCATGCCCACCTAGGAACAATCCTCCTTGAGCCCCAAACACATTTTCTTAGACAAGACTCCCAGGAGCAACTGCTTAGCCCCTTTTTCTGCAGGATCACCATGCCTGCCCAACCCACAGAAAGCCATTTGTTGACTATGTATTAACATGTATTGATCGCCAGCAGTGAACTAGCCATCCATCTAACACTCCCCCAGCTGATAGATGAAATCGAGTTCCACTCTATTGCCAAGAAAGAGCCCACTGCTGAATTAGGAGGGAGAAGATCTCATGCTTGGCGGTTTGCACGATCCCCCTGCAAATTATTTTAGTAAGGGATTGGCTCCTGTGAGGTTAAACAAGCCACTTCCCAAGCTGTGAGGTGGACCATCCCGTTGGGTGCGAAGGCAGAGAGGAGGGACTGCAGATTTACCAGATGCCTGCAACATAAAGCCCGAAGACAGGGTAATTAATTCAGAGGGTAAAAAGGGAAAGATACATTCATGGCTGGTGGGTAGGACAGAACCACAGAGCTAAAGAGGAACTAAGCAGGAGGGCTGGACATGCGGCTGATGCTCTTGAAGAAGAAACAAAAAGTTCAGCTTCCAGCCCGAAGGCATTCTGAGGGTCTACAGCACTGAGCACGGTTTAATCACGTGCTTGCTTCCGCTCATTAGTTAAAGCCCCTCTTTAAACCCAGGGCAGAGCGAGTGTCCACCAAAATGTCTTGGTCTTTCTTGGTTCAAAGCGTGAAGAGTTTCACGGTGCTTCCTGCCTTCGACGACAGGAAACTGAGTTTGTTACACAAATGTCTGGAAGATACAGCGCTAGAGCAAGCCGTTACCATCTGCAGCTACTAAATACGGTGTGATAGCATACTTTATCGGCCAGAGCTCAGTTCCCAATTGTACTAAGGTTTCCAAACCCACATTTAAGTTTTAGCCAACGGGAGAGCCAGCCAACTCCCGTAAGCCTCACTGGAACTCTTCAAGTTGTCCTGTCTGGGGAGAGGGGAGGTGCGCAGGGGGAGGCTAAGACTTATTAACTTCATTATGTTATTGCTGACAGTGTTTATGTCTTTCAATTTATGTCTTATTAAACATTCATTATTTTTAAACCCACCAAGTTTCATTAACATCTAAAGTAAATGGATTCACGGACTAAATTGATTTCTGAAGCCTTTAAACTGCCGTTTATATTTCTTTGTTGAAGTTGCGCTGGGAAGAAAAGATAAGCTAGCAAGGATTTCTCCAATGCTGTGATCACTTTTTAAGGGAAAGATGTCATAACCTAAGAGAAAGTGACTTATTTGCATAAAATATTCCATAGTGAACTCAGTTTAAGAAGATTTTTAGAAAGCCCACAGAGATTTTTTTTTTCCCCCTGTTAGATACTTTTCCTGCTGTCGGGGAAAATGAGAAAGTATCCTGTTAAAATTGAAGTTAAGAAGAAAAAAATTCGGTGGGTCTGAGAATCAGAACAATAGATCACTGTTTAGATAAGGATGCCTCATGACTATAAGCAGAAAGAGAAAAATCAGATGACCTTTAGATTGGAAAAAAATAAAAAAACCACACCACACATCTTCCTTTAAAATAAAACCAGAATTGTTCAAACTTCAGATCAGCTGACCATGCCTATTACTCTTATTAAATATTTGAGCATTGCAGAGAGGCTAACTCAGAGAATTAGGTGTCATGTGTCTGGGCATCTGGAATGTTCTGGTACTGTTTTCTTTGACTGGAGGATTCCATTTCCCTCAACCCACGGCACAGAAAAAGTTATGGCTATAGGTTGCTGATTATTCATCCACAAGGACCACATGGGACAGTGTATGCCTACGTCTGGTATACAATAAGTGCTTGATAAGTATAGCCATTCTGACTAGCCAAGAACCATGACATCACAGGGAGCCTTTACTGAGGTCAGATGAGAAATTCTGTTTGTGATGTTCTGCTTAGATCCACAAAAAAAAACAAAACAAAACCAAAAATAAAAACAAAAAAATCCAGAAGTGTCTCAAAATCTGTAAAGACATAAGGATAAAAAATTGCTTCCAAATTACCATCCCATCTTTTCCAGCACCCTTCCCTGACATCTGACCATTCCTTAATAATTGTAGTTTTCCAAATGAAGTCCTGGATCAGTAACACAGGTAAGTAGGAGAGCCATGAATCAACACTCCTGAACTTGGGAACCGGTGGCATGAACAGCCCTCCTGGAACTAGGTGGTCAGAGAGCTTAGGTCTGCATTCAAGTTCAGTTCTCACCCACTGGCTGACCGGGGCAATTTATGTGACCTTGTTGGGGGCTGGCTTTCTCATTTGTGAATAAGGCTCATGATTTAGCCTTATTGGTAGGGGATTATAGAGAAGAGTAATAGTAGAAGTACACCAGTGATAGCAGAAGTCCTAACATGCTGGTCCCTGTTTGCTGGTCTCAGTAACATGCACTGACTGTGTGCTACATGGACTATTTTATCACCTTACCTAATCCTGACTCTGTCACTTCCCAGCTAAGTAATTTTGTGTATGTTATTTAACCTCTCCTTGACTCAGTTTCTTCCTCTATGCGATGCAAGGGATGATAATGACTCTTAAGTACGCAAGCCCCAGTGAACCTTGGAACAACGTTTGGTGCACAGAAATACAAGATCCATATTTGTTTTCATTACCTCATCTTAAAATACTAACGGTTGCTGCCACACTCAAGGCAGTTATCCCCACCTTCTTTGCCACAACAACCCTGACTTTGATCCGGTAGTCTGGGAAACCATGATGGGTCTAAGCCATGGGGTAATCTCATTCTCCACTGCCAAGCATTTGCTTTCCTACTCCTTCGAGCATGGTCCAGTTTGGGCCAGTGAGATGGGGGAAGTTCACTGAAGGGGCTTCTGAGAATAAATCTCTACGATAAGCAGCAGCTCTTGAGAAGAGTCCGTCTGCCCTCTCCCCTCACTTGCTCCCTTTGATAACTGTTGTGTGAGGCCCCTGTGCCCAGAGTGGTGGCCATTGCTTCCATAAGATTCAAGATGGAGGATGAAAATCAACATGCTAAAATCGGTGCGGGGGGAAAATAATGGCCTAGGCTCTTGAGAACACCATGGAGCACAGCTTCAAACCTTTAAACATTTACTAACAACAGATGCTACAGTTTAAGTTGCTGTTGAATGGGTTTTCTGTTACTTGCAACCAAAAGCAAGTTGCTGCAAGAAATGCGAGTCGTGTTGGACGTGACACCAGACTCTAGCTTTTCCTCAGCTACGAGGGACCAAGAACTGGCTGACGCTTATTCCTCTCACAGTGGAAGACCTTGGCCACAGTCAGGATTGCACAGCCAATTACATCAGCGAGCCTGGAAGAAAATAGGAAAGAGCCGGCTTGGACCTCACGTAAACTCTAAGGGCAGCTCTGGCTGAATGGAAATGGATTCTTTTGTGCTAGAAACACACAGAAATGGACAAGTCCCTGTGAATGGAAAAAGGGGCCCTCTGAGTGGCCGTTCTTATGCTCATTTCAGCAAATGAAAACAAAAGAGAGACAGCCTTCATAGACACCTCCTCACAGAAGTGAAGTTAATAGCTAGGGAGCCAAGCCGAAAAAGGGGTGAAATGTGCAGCCGGCCCCCTGTTTCCAGAGATTATTCTTACTCTTTTTTTTTTTTTTTTTTTTTTGGCCTATTCTCTATCTTGCCCTTTTCTCCCCTTAGGGCGTCATCGCTAATGTTGCTCTCAGCCTATTCTGTCTAGTTTATTATGTGTAATTTATTCCTGAATCCCAGCCTCTGCTTGTTCGTCTTTGTGTAACAAGGTTAATGCCTTGTAATGATGCTTTTGCCAGTTCTGCCTTTCATGACAGAATCCAATCTTGATTTAGCTCTAAACCTTGTCTCCCCTTTGGGCTTTCTTGGTTCCCTCAGAGTTGTCATTCTGCTTCTCCTGCCTGCCATGTCTAACCATGACGTCACGCCCACGCTTTAGCCTGAAGAAGAAAAGTTTTCTCCATTTGAGGGGAAAAAGCTACCTGGTCTCAGACAACGTTTGGGCTCAAAAAGAGAGAGCCTTGGGCTCCATGTACCAAAGTAGAACCAAGGCTACCCAGAAGGGTGAGGGCTGGCAGGCATGTGTGTATGTGAGAGTGTGTGTACAGGGAGCAGCGGGCCCATCGCAAGGGGAAACAGCTTGCCCTCCTGGCAGCACCCTTATATGACCTTTCATTGACAATACACACTCCCAGCGTACAACTCCAGGGGGCTCCAGTCATGTATTCTGGGGTGAATGGCACCTCCAGAACTGAGTAACACCGTGGCCTTGCTCCTACCATGCAAAAGATGGCCTGACTCATCACGCCTAATGGAGACTGTTCCCAGCCCTACTTGAGCTGTTATGGGGACAGCAGGAGGCAATGTGCATGAAAGAGGGGCCTCAAGTGTTAGGGACCCAGCAAGAGTCAAGTCTTCTACTTCTAAGGTGCTGAAAAGACTCCCTCAGTTTGGTGTTTCCAGGAAAGATACCAACAGGGGGCCTATTCACTACTTCTACCTTGAGAAAATGCCTCTTGGGCAGTTACTTTTGTATCCAGCTCTCCTTTGGCATATACTTATTTTGAAACAGTTTCTTCACCATTTCCTAGAACTCACCAGGGGTCCACTTGTGGTTGGGAAACCTCAGGTGGAGTCGTACACTCGAGATTTGTGCAGGCGTATGTGTGTGCATGCATGTGCGTGCACACACACACACACACACACACACACCCCACCACCTCCTCCCATTCTGCCCCCTATGGGCTGCTTGATTTTGAGATATCCCTGAACCTCAATGACCAAATCTATAAAATGGACAGACTAATATATATGCTCTGCCTCTTAGCATTGTTGTGAGGCTCAGATAAAACCCTGTACATGAAAATAAGTAGAAGATGATCTTTATTAAGCTAGAAGAGATGGAAAGAACAATTTCTCACCC